GTGTTACCAACTCTGGTGGAAGAAATTTAAAATTTAATACCACGAAACTATTCGGCCCACTTACCGATGCGATGGTGGGAATCATTTTCATGAATATCAGCAAATTTTACGAAAATCGAAAAGTCTCTAAGCGCAGCAGAAATGAAACTTCATAGTGAAAATACAATAAATACGAAGTTTGCAGAATATTTTCTAATATATTTATGTAGTAGTAATTGTTTTGCACGAACTTTATTTTTATTAACTTTTTTATAAAAAACTGCTTAGTGCACTTATAATTATTCGAAAAATTATTTAAGTCTTAATCGCTATCTGAATTCTTACATTGATCTTTATCTGTATCTCCACTTTTATGTTTATCTTTAACTTTATTTTTTATCTTAACCATTGTCTTTATCTTAATATTTATCCTTATTTTTATATTTATCTTCATCTCCATTATCTTCAACAGCAATTCGGACTTCACTTCCTCATCTTCATCTAAATATTAATCTATACTCATCTTCATATTCATCTCCATTTTCTTCTCCATCTCCATCTTCATATCCATCTCTTATCATCAACTCCACCTTCATCTTATCCTTAATTTCACACCTTGCCTTTATTTTTTATATTTGTATTTGAATTTATTGTCGCTTTTGACTGCATCTTTGCATTTGTATTTATCTTTATGTTTCTCTGTTGTTATCCTTATAATTATTATTATTATGTCTTTGACTACATCCTTGTCTTTACTTTTGTCTTTGTCTTTCCCCGCTTCCAGTAGCGTTGTTGGATGCAGTCATTCGTTTTCTATCCACGCTTTCGCCATATACCTATACTACCTGTTTAGTATTGAATATGTTATAGATCTGGCAACCGACGAGTTGTATAAAAAAAATAATAAATATGTTAAGTAAAAAAGTCTGAGCGCCCATGTGTTATCAGTGAGCGTATCAAAGAACAGGAAGAAGAGTGTTCCTTTTTATATCTACTTAGTTTATCTTGGTAGATTGGGTTCATAGCCTTGGCTATCTTAAGTACAAAATACTATCTTCACCGTAGCGTTAAACATCGGGGAAAATTCGTAGACGACCAAGCACTGGGATTCAGTTTGTTCTTTTTTTTCATACCTCTTGGCAAAGTGAAGTATTCCAAAGACTGATAAAGGAGGAATAGTACTACTTTTCATCAAATCAGGATATATAACCTTTATCCCTAACTTAGTTAAAAATAATATCCGTGTCTTCCGCAGTGACCGGTAGACTGACAAACTCAGTCCACACATTATATAAGCGAACCCTGATGGCTGTTAAAATACGGATATGTGGCCCCTCTTTCAGCTGTTCTCTTACAAGATACGAATCCATTTGGTTAATTAGCTACCAACTAAGGGAAATTTTTGGCGAATTTTTCGTAAAAGATTAATTACCTTCAAAGTTAGGGGGGTTTTACATTTTTAAAAAGTTCTGAACACATACTTTTGCTATTCTTGCGTCGAGGAATCTATTTCCATGGTCGCAGGAACCGAAAAACGCTTTAAAACCTTTTTTTTTTTTAGAGTTCATTACATCCATCGAAAACGATAAAAACTAAAAAATTTTACCTTTGAAGGTTACATTCAAAAAAAAATCACAATGAATCCATAAAAATAAATTTAAAATGCGTTTTTAGGTTTATGTGACCATAGAAAAGGATTCCTTTACGCAAGAGTAGTAAAAATGTGTGGTTAAAACTTTTCAAAAAACTCACTGCATACTTTTTCACGTCAGGTCAGGGTTCTTCCTGTGAAGGTAATTTGAAAGGTAAAGGAAACTTTTTTATCCAACAAAACTATTTTCCTGAGTTCTCCATCTCAAAAGCATTAAAACGAACGCTATTACATTTTTATCGTTAGCTGCTCTCGTTCTCGAGATATTAGAATTTGTCACGGAAAAAGTTCAATTTCCACACTGTGCGACGCCGAGGAACTCAACGAAGAAGTAGGTAGCAACTAAGTAGCGTTTTGATACTATGCAACTCTGATGAATGTTTTCTAATAAACCGACACGGTTGATATAATTGAGATCTTGTGGACCACTTTGTCTTCTAGGAAGAAAGACAATGGGCCAGTGAACGTGTTAGGATGACAACAAATCCTGTCACGCCACATCAGGACTTCACACATACAGATTCAAAATTACCTCTTTCTATTTCGCCCAAACATATTTTGGGAACATCGAATAATTCTCGAATGTTAACTCATCACTAATCTCATTTCAAGGGATGTTTTAATGGCCAGAAATCCAAATATATTCAAAATATTTTTCCGCGCAACTTAAGCGTTAATTTTTTGGTTAAAGTCATTAAAAGGTATTAGAATTCAACGTTGAAGTCCCGTTAAGTCAGGGAATCTATCGCAAGCTGATCAAATATTACTAGCCCTGTTCTCATTTCGGTTTCATAATTCTTAAACGACACTAAAATATAACCATTGTATTACATACCTTTGTAGTGCCTTTTACCATCTCTTAGATATCTGTTAAATAACATCTAAAAGTACATACCTGTAAAGAAAAAAAAAAATATAAATATTAGTAATTTTCAACAAAGGATATATTGTTAAACATTTTACGTAATTTATATAAAGTGTGCTACCTTCAAATTTTATAACATTTATAAATTATATTTTTATATTTGAAAAGAAATGAAGCCATAAAAACTTTAGTATTGGTTCCTACTAAATTCAGAGTATTTGATCAAAGTAAAGACGTGTATTAATTTTTTACTCTTGACCTTGATTTTTGAACGATTTATTGGATCATCTTCCACTTAAATATGAATTCAATGGTGTTTTGATTTTATGCCTAGGCGGCGTTTCGAAGCAAAGCCTTTTAAAACACTAAACCAAGACACATAATACTGTGTTCATAGAATTACTACATTTCCAACCTATTCTAAAGCACTTGGCAACCCTTTCGTTTCACATCACCAATTTCCACCAGCCAACGGCGGAATTTGGTGAGGCAATGAAGTGTTGTTGCACGCTGGCAAACGGGATGAAAGTGGCATAATTGTAATGGGATTTAAGGCAAGAATTTTGTGTACAATGTGACAACATAGGTATGTTGTAGTTTGAATACCAGATATACATACATACCCTGCAGTGAAACCCCGAACTAGTCAGGAAAAATACTAGTTTACAACTAGAATTTCCTGACAGAAACCGAACTAGTTCGAAAATGTCCAGACTTGTACCAAGTACAAAACGATTTATGTATTCGTGTCCTGTTTTATTTGACTTCGACAGTTGAATACAATAGAGTACACAAAATGTTATAACTTTTATTTGACTTTATTGTAAACCGTTAAAGCGAGTACCATACTCGTTAAATAATGATTAATATTCATAATGATTATTAATTAAAGCGTGATTTCAATGATTAACATATAATTACTTAAAAAAAATTTAATTACATCATTAGTTTGTTATTTTTGATCATTTTCAATTATTTTCGAATTTTTGTAATTAAACGGTTACTATAATTATTTATTTGATTAATTTCTATTATCAATCAACAAGCCAAACTATAGACAAAAATTAAGAATATTTAATAATTGCTTGAATTATTTATTTATTTTATTCTTATCCAAATCTCAAATTTCAAACATTAATTATTACTTTTATAAATTTTTAATCAATTGGATTTATTTTAATGACAAATTTTATTTTTATTTAGTTCACTCAAAAATGAACTAAAGTATGCATTTTATTTTTAACTAAAATGTTTTCTTTTGTTTTCTTTTTAATAGCATTTAATGAAAAATGCATTTGATATCATGTTCGAAAGTTTGAAATATTTATGTATTTTATTTTGCTTTTAATTAATACTCAAAAAATTTAACACTAATTATTAGCAAATCTAAGGCTGCTAAATAAAAATATGTAATATATCAAAGTGGTTTTGGTCCATAATTGGACTAGTATTTTTCTGTCTATTTTGAACTAGATGAGACTGGTATATTTCTGACCGAAATCTGACAATTGCCATCTCGTAGGACATCCCCATGTTAAAAATACCAGTTGATTGTATGGAAAAAAGATAGTTGGCTGACTAGTTGAGCATGCGGTTCATACTAGTTGTGAGGTAGTTTACAACTAGTACATTTTGACTACAGGGTACATATGTGCAGGGTAAAATATAATATACACCTTGTAGCTGCTATTTTGAATGACGCAGCAATGAGAAGGTTGGACGGTCGTGAGACAACAAAATCTCATTAGATTTAGTGACATAACGGAGTAATTATGTACATCCACCTATATAATAATGGAATGATAGAAAGGCGTAAGATGAACGATATCGAAGGGTAGTTTGGGGATACCACATATTTGGATATGTAAATAATTGTCACTGCCAGCATGCGGTGAAAGGATATATTCCTTAGTTTTTAAAAAAAAATATGGTAGTTGAATTAGGCAGAGACAGTAAGGTTGCTGAACGATTGAAGAAACACACAAAATGTAATTAATGATTTGACTTCTTGTATTTACATGAATGATCTAGGAAAAAGGCCTTTTGACACGTAGAATCTTTAGCCTTGTAATAATTGGGAGTATTTAAAAAGGCTGCCTTATAAAAATTAACCAATTGGTCCTATTTTTGGAGTATAATATTATGTAGGGAATTTTGGATATTTTCAGTAGCAAAATTTTCGAATTTGAAGCCAAAAACGACTTTATCCGATNCACAAAATGTAATTAATGATTTGACTTCTTGTATTTACATGAATGATCTATGAAAAAGGTCTTTTTGACACGTAGAATCTTTAGCCTTGTAATAATTGGGAGTATTTAAAAAGGCTGCCTTATAAAAATTAACCAATTGGTTCTATTTTTGGAGTATAATATTATGTAGGGAATTTTGGATATTTTCAGTAGCAAAATTTTCGAATTTGAAGCCAAAAACGACTTTATCCGACGTATACAAGTAAAAGTTCCATTTAAACTCTCTATGCTCCCTACCTCTCTATCCACTTACCTGACTCAGTCGTTCTTGACTGTCGATGATGTCGATAAATAGCCGCATTCGATCGTCCAGTATCTGGAAACCATTCCTCGGTTGCATGAGTAGATTTTGCACCGCTTCACGTATGCTACCCGGCGTTGTGCTACACGAGCTGCTATCATCGCTACCCATAAAACCACCCCCACCACCGCTCCCACCATTGGCCATTTGTTGCTGCTGCTGCTGTTGTTCACGCAATTTCAGCTGCTGCGAATGCTGACGCAGCGCATCGGAACATTTGCGTAAGTAATCGTAGGAACCTTTGGATTTGTACTTGTCCGCCATCTCCTGAAAGCTATCGAGTATTGCATTGAAGTCGGTCATCAGCGGCGCGGTCGAGGGTGTAGTTGTGGCGCTTGTCGATTGCGAATGCGTCGATTGTGAAGGCGATGGCGAGTTGTTGTTGGCCGAATTGGCGCCGAAGTTGTTCACATTCTCCCGGCTCAACGCGGCATAGTGTGACGTAGGGCGGTTAGTCGGTGATGTGCTTAGTGGTGAATGGCTGGTTATGACCCGCAGCTCGGAGGTTAGCGAGGGTGAGAGAGAGGAAACCATGCCTGCAGCCACTCTCAAATTACCGCTGCTCGCAGAGCTGCCTAGCACCTTGCTGGGACTGAGTGCCTTCAAGTCTTCGCTCATTAAACGCAGATTATCGGAGATCTGATGGAAGCTTTCCGAGGTGATCATCGAGTGCTCGCCGCGTTCATTTTCCAACTTCGTGGTGGCGATTGCGCTTTTAGGACGACGACGTGTTGGTGGCATGCCTCCGCCGAGCTGCGCGCCAGGTGTACCAGAAGTGACGTCGGGCATTTGTAGTGGCTTCGAGATGAACGAGTCAAGTGTTTGTGAATTGACCAATTTCGGTTTCTCATCTGTTTCGGGTATCTTGTTAGAGCGTATGGCATCGAGAAAGAGGCGTAACTGATCGGAAGGTGTGCGTAGTTCGCTTTCGTGTGCTTTGCTGGTGGCTGTGTTGGCAGTAGGAGCGACTGCGACCGATTGCACTGACGCGCTGCGCAACGTATCGTCGAGATTCGGACGCTTGTAGGCCATTAACTGTGGCGGTTGCGTGGAGGCTTGTGAACGTGCAAGCTGTATTGGTGGTTGCGGTAGAGGTTGCAACTGTGGCTGCTGCTGCTGCAAGCTCGTTGGCGATTTCGACTCAGTAATGGGTTTCAGCATCTCCTCGGGTATATTTTGCTGATACTCTGAACGCATCGTGCTGCGTATATTATCGAGAAAGAGTCGCAGTTGATGTGAGGGTGTCTGCGCTTCGCCTGAAGAGCAAAGCGATGCGAGCGATTTACTTACGATCTCCGGCGAAATCATGTTGGAAGAAAACGTGCTACCGCTCTGCGTGCTTGGCACATGCAGAATATGTGGCGCGTTACCTGCGTTGTTTCCACTCAATGTGGGCGAGTTAGCGTTGCCGCTATTTGGCTGCAATTGTTGCGTCTTAGCTAGCTGTTGCTGCCGCTTCAACTCTGATAGCAGTTTTGCCTGCTCCGAGTACTTGCGTACGCTTTCTGTTATGGTGCGCAGTTGCTCTGAGTAGGCGCGCAGCTGATTTTCTAGGTACGCTTGGTCAGGTGCGCTTGCGCCATAAGCATAGGAAATTGGCCGTTCGCCCTTATGCCAGGTGGCCGAGCTGGTGACGTTGGTTGCGCCAAGCGCGGTGCAAGCGGCGCTTACTGCCGCCGCTTCGTTGCTGAAACCATGTTCTGTGCTGATCTGTCCCGACTGGCTACGGCCGTGAAAGGTGATCGAGTGTCGCATTCCGCCGCCACCGCTGGCACTGCTGACCAATCCAGCGCCATTGGCAAGCACATTGACGTCCGAAATGTTGGTGGCAGATAGGCCGTTACGTATATTATCAATGCTGGTGCTCTTTTTGCCACTAAACTTGGGCGTGCCACCGCTCGCATCCGGCTGTGGACTGCCCACGGACTGACGCGCATTTGCGACGCCTGGTGGAAACCGCCGCAGTGGTATAGGTACTGACGCGCATTTGCGACGCCTGGTGGAAACCGCCGCAGTGGTATAGGGGGTGGCTGATAGAGACCAACAGGCTTAGCATCGCTGTTGAAGCGATCTAAGCTGCGTGGGCGTGGCGTAGTGCCACCATTCAACTGCATGCCGCCATTCACAGCAGGCGAAAGCGGTTGTTGTGGCGATTGCGGCAGCTGCTGTTCGTTGATGCCTTCCAAGGGACGCGGCGTGCTATGCGAACGACGTGGCACTATCGGTTGCTGCAGCAGCGCGCCTCCCGACGGCTGCTGTTGTTGTTGAAGCTGCTGCGTCGCGCTAACCGCGCTTGGATTACGGTGTAGCGGTACAGGTGGGCAGTAATTGGTGGTAGCCGTGGCGGTGCTCGTCGCAGCGTTGCTCATCATATTCGAAGCCTGCGACACGCCAACAACACCCAACTTTTGTGACAGCGTGCCATGTGCTGTGCGTGTGGGACTATTGCGATACTGCTGAAAGAGCGCGGCGTACAACGCCTCCTTGTCTACGCTAGTGGCAGGTGTGGGCGTGCCTGCAGAAGTTGGCGCATTGCCGGTGGAAACCGGAGTGCTAGAGCTACTGCCGCCGCCACTGCGTAACTGCTGCTGCGTTCGTGTAAACTGCAACAAGCGCTGCTGTTGCTGCTGTAAGTTGGCGTGCTGCTGACGCAACAGCTCTTCCTGCTGTAGCTGCTGTCTCGAGGCGTAGTCAACAAAGCTGTTCGGTAATGCCTTGGGTCCACGCCTCAATGTGCTGAAAGCTAAATCGTTGGTACTGCTGCTGTAGCTAGTTGCGCCACCTGAAGTGGGTGTAGTAGACGCCAGCGTAGCGCTTGTTGCCGCCATGCTGGCNAAGTTGGCGTGCTGCTGACGCAACAGCTCTTCCTGCTGTAGCTGCTGTCTGGAGGCGTAGTCAACAAAGCTGTTCGGTAATGCCTTGGGTCCACGCCTCAATGTGCTGAAAGCTAAATCGTTGGTACTGCTGCTGTAGCTAGTCGCGCCACCTGAAGTGGGTGTAGTAGACGCCAGCGTAGCGCTTGTTGCCGCCATGCTGGTGCTCATTGACGCCACGGCTATGCTATGCGGGCGCGCTTGTTTGCTTGCGCGAAAACGTTGTGGCTCCGCATATTCGGGCACCTCATAGCCGCCGCTATTGCTTGGCCCGCTTGCGACGTAACTTCCGGAGCTGCCGCATGCCAGCAACGTAGACGCAGCAGCTGTGGTAGGCGCCGCATAGCCAAATGCCAATGCTGCTGTAGGCATTGTTTCAGTGGGCGAAGGGCTATTCAAAAAGGGATTATTGCCTTTCAAAGCGATCGGTGCGGCTGTGTTGCCGCAAAGCGGTGGCGCTACGGTGGTAAATTGTGTCGGTGTTGGCGGTTGATATTCGCTGATGTGCAAATCCAGTGCGCGTTCACGTTGTTCGCGTTGCAATTGCAATTGTTTCAGTTGAAACTGGTGCTGCTGTTGTTGTTGCTGCTGTTGCGCTTGTTGATTGGCAATGCTGCCATTTGGCGTGCACAGCGGATTATAATGTTTCGCAAAGGCATTACTATTGCTGCCCTGGCCGGCAACATCGTTGTTAATTTTCGTCGTATTTCCGTTGGCATTGTGCATCATTGCACCACTGTTACTGCTGGTCGACGTGCTACACGCTGCCAATGTTGTGCGGCTGGTTGTTGTCGAGCCAACGACGCTGGCCGCGGTTGTCGCTGCGGCGACAGCTGGATAGCCAGTTATGCGGAAACCACCATTCATTGATGTGAACGTTGCTTGTAGAGCTTGCGGAAGCTGCTGCTTGTTTCTGCTACGCATAAGCCCGTTGTAGCGCGGCACCTTTGTCGTTGTTGTTATCAATTGTTGACTCTGTTTTGTGGCAAGTATCCTTTTAACTTTATGTGTGGAAAACTATGGAAAGTATGGACTGTATTGTGTCAGCACTGTTGTTGTTTGTTTTTTTTTTGTTTTTTCGCCGTTTACATACTTTAATCGTTTCTGTCGAACGCATGCTGCAACTTTGAAAACTTTGCGCACTGCCTGCCGATTATCTTGAAATGTGCTTGTTGAATGTACCAATGTTGTTGCTTTAATTCCTGGTGATTACTCAAATGTTGTTATTGTTGTTGTATTTGCTACATTTGCAGCTCGTTTTGTGGCACTTTTTTTTCGAGTTTAAAATTTTTTTATCGCCGGCCTTAATGCGCATTTAAAGCTGTCGAAGTCGTATTCAAAATTGTTTTTGTTATTGTTATTTAACCTTTGAACGATACAAAAACGTTCTTTTATCAGCGCAGCTGAAATTTAATTACCATAATTGCCACTTTCTCAGTTTTTTGTGTTGCACTTTTCACTCATTTTGTTGTTATTAATATTTTTTTTTTTTTTGTTTGCGGATTATTCGAATTAACGCGCCAACTGCGAAATTGTTCATTATTTCTTTGGCTCATTTTTGTTTATTTTTATTTTCGTTACAATTCTTACTTTTGCCCGTCACTGTTGTTGCCACAAATTTTCGCTTAACCAATTATAATGCCTTTCCACTGAAAATGTCTCCATTTACCACACTTTTTGTTGTTCTATCTTCATTGCTTGCTTTTTGTGTTGGTTTTTGTCTTTGTTCGTGTGCGTCCTTTCACTCTGCTACACGTTAATTACATTGTTCCACATGATTCGCCGGCCATTGTGTTGGCAACCGCCGCCATCATCATTGCCATCAACTCAAAAACACATACACATACCCATACACACGCAGTAATGTTGCATAAAACTCGCATACAACTCACAACACTGCTAACAAAAAAGTGTCATCAGCCGTTGCGCCGTTTACTCGTTCGTTTGTTAGTTCGTTTATTCGTCCTGTATCGCTGTGCGCTGTCCAACGTAAGCAAAGCTGCCGCCACCACTACCAACACACTTTCCGTTGGTCAAGTGGCGATTTATTCATTTGTTAATTTGCTGACAAGCAAGTTGCTTGCTTTGCGGCTGTAGTTCTACGAAAGCTGCTTGCCACATGCGAGTTGTTTGCACCGTAATCGCATTCACTAATTCGGCTACAGTGCAATTGTGGAACTGAGTACCTGAAGTTGAATTCTTGCTCGTCGCGCTGTGGCACTATTTTCACTGCTTCCTATATCCGTTTCCCTTTCTCATCTCTATTATTTATGTTGCTCTCACTGCACTTCCTACTGTTCACCTTCATTAATTGCAAGTCCCCCAACGCTCGAGATTATCATCAAATTTGTCACGCGACACTTATTATGGTCACTTTAATCGTTTTTTTCACATTTCATTTCGCATTTTTTTTTTTTTGTTTTGGCACTTCAACAATTTGTTGCAGTTATTTTCAGCACAGCTACTGTTCAGTTGCAATCACTTTTATTGCGGTTATTTTTTGCTGTATGTATACATTGCGCTTGCAACTACAGTTGATGACATTTTTAATGGAATTTTTGACGAAAGCCAAATACACTTGGATATGGCATTTACACAAGCAGAAATCTAGCTACTCATAAACTGATGAATATACATATGTATGTTTGTGTGGGTTGAAAAATTCATGCAAGTAGAACTTCTCCATCAAGAGTGAATTGGACTGCATGCTTTATTTTATTCTTATAAGCGACATAAAAGAAAAGTTTAATAATTAATCTTAAGTTGCAAAAAACCCTCCCACACATTTTTTATATAGATATGTTTCTTCATTGCTTTTGCTTTTGGGTGCTTTTTTCGCGACATTTTTTTTTTTTACTCGCACCTCGAAATTTTTTTAGAAATACAAAAAAAAATCCTGAAAATTTGAGCCCTTGATATTAATATTAAATTTAAAATTTCCAGGGTTTTTTTTTAGGTATTTCCTACAAAATTTCGAGGTGCGAGTGAAAAAAAAATAGTCGCGAAAAAGCACCGTAATATGTATATTATAATAATCCTAGATTGACGCTTACACAATATGCTAACTGTTTTAAGCAGGAAGGCCTACTCGCCGATGTACTCGCGTCTGTGAATCTTGTGGTCAGCATGACTACCAGTGGATTTAAAGAACTTTTGGACTTAGCGCCTATGTTTGCCTATAACATCAATCGATGGAGAGTCTCGAATGAAACGTCCTACTCTTACCATCGATACATTAAATTCAAAATAAGTCTAAGAACGCCAAAGGAGGTTTTCAACAACAAACTAAGTACATACTTTATTGCCAAAGATATCTCTTCGTGGCCCTGCGATTTTTTTTTAAGAAAGGGGCGTTTTTGTTTCAGAAGGTCCTCAGGGTAGTATAGGTTAAGTTATTGTGGCAGACCCCGAGGGACTCACTTAAATATTAATTACATTGTCCATTGTGTTGCCACATTATAAAAATTCATTTAACAGTGATCAATGGGTGCTAAAACCAATGCTTCGCACCTCGTCTTCAAAACAGCTGCGGTAGTAGGGACCCGTGACGTTGCTAAGCTGCACCGAGTGAATTCCTAAAGGACAATGTCCGCTCAGTACCTGTACGAATGGAATGCTGACACATAGCTAGCTACTGAAGCTCTCTTTAACGCTTGCGGTCAACAACCACAACAACCAGCCAGAAGGACCTTGCAACTTTGCATGTATGGGTTATCGCCTAGCGCTCGCTGAGCCGACTCAGAGCACATCTGTCCAGGAGCATGTCGCAGGTTGCCAACGGAACTCATGTGCCTTTGATGTCCGAAGTTACGGCCTCGAGCGTCCCTACCTAGCCAATTCATCAGCCCTCCAATTTCCAGTGATGTCACTGTGTCCTGGGACTCAAATCAGCTTGACATGAAAGTATTACGAAGCGGTTCATTAGCAATCCAAGCGCTCTGATTGCATAACCAATCGGTTGCCTCTTTTATAGCAGCCACCTCCGCATGAAAGACACTTCAGAGATCCGGCAGTCTGAACGTAAGATTTATTGGCAGCTGCTTACAGTAGACATCTCTCCAACTCTTTCCCTCCACACTCGATGCGTCCGTGAAGATGTTTATTGGACCTCTACTTCAAAGGCTTCCATTCTCCAATTCGACCCTTGGAGGGATGTGCATGGAGAAGGATCCGTTTGGGTCCAACCTCGGAACACTCCGAATAATTTCTATCGGTAGGAAGCCGAATTAAATAGAACCCAGAGAAATACCAACACGTGCGACACTGAGCTTTAGAATTTGGCGCCAGCGTAGGAGTTGGCCGGAGCGTGATTTCATGCTGAAAATTTCATTTTATATTCTTTGGCGTATAACGCCAAATGTCAAGTGAACAGAGTTCTACCTAAATTTCCAAAGACCAACATGTCTATTACTTTTATCGCTAAAGTCCATGTGGCCATGTGGAGGACAAAACCTTGGTCCAAAAATGCATGAGAAAAAAGTAAAGTCACCCGATAACTATCTTTTCCACTTAGTGAATACCCTTGAAGCTTTCTTACACCAACGCATTAAGTTCAGTACGACAATTTTCCCTGCATTTTTAAAATACTTATATTTTTCATCTTTTCAAAAAAATGTGATAGCATCAGTTTCATTTAATCAAATCCACAACAGCTCACATCACATTAAACGAAATATTCTTAACTGCCTTCGAGAATGTGCGAAATTAATAAAATTTAAATAAACGCCCGAAGCAAGATCCATCTAAAATACCATGGAATGGATATATGACACCTATTAAGTTGCAGTGGAAGTTCGAAGTTCGTTATATTTAATACGTTTCTAAATTAAATGTGTACGAGAGCATATAGTATAAACATGCATCCATCTAAAAAGCTCTTTTATTCTAATACACACATAAACTCGCATTTTTCATCACGTTGACACCTTTCAGAAGCAATGCTTGCCTGCTTTCCTTTTAGTCATCATATCCATCAAAGCGCAAAGATGGTTTAGCGGTTTTTGCCGCAGACACCAAACCTCAATCCAAAAACCATTTACTTGTACACACATACCAACATACATACATGCGAGTACAACAAATTCAGTGAAGCAGTCAAAAGGAGCGCCAACTCCAAGCAAACGTGAAGCTATGCAAAGTGACTGTGACATGGCATCTTTTCCATATTTTCCCTTTTGGATAATCCATTCAGTGCATAAATTTTGCACAGCGAAGCTTAGACAAACCAACATGACAACAAAGAATATATGTATGTATGTACATAGTATATGTATAAGGTGCGAGGGGTGAACAACCAAGAAAACAGGAGCCTGCAAAAGGGGAAGAGCAGAATATCGCAAAACTGTAGAATAACTAGAAAGCGTAGGCATGCAGTTGAATAGCAGAAAACTAAGTTTAGCATTGCTTGCTTGACAGCTTTGTGAAATGTTCTTAGGTTGTTTGTTTGGATGCGAAAATCTTTTGTAAATATTTATTAAAAAAATGCGCATAAATTATATTTTCATATAGAAATGTGGATATCATGGAAGAGCTACGCATGCCTGCATTTATAGCATTGCTGTAATCTTCCAAGGACAAAGATGCAGCTATCACGATAAAATAAACCAATATTTGTCTGAATCTACAGTTACGAAATATCAAGGTTTTACAAACATTTGGACGTATGCATAAAAATTGAGCTTAAGCTGCGACTCGACCTTCAGTACAAATTCTTGAGATCGAGCTCACTCCATCAGTGCAAAAATGGAGTCTGAGCTGAACCGCACTTTTTATGCATGAGGCCCATTGTGTTGTGGATGGAACGACAGCTTTACAGAGTTATATGAAATTTGGAACCATATAATAAATCCATGTCACTTAAAATCCAT